CAGTGATAAGTTGAAGGAAACCCAAAATAGAATCAGGAGAAAGGCCGTTCGAGCGTTCCGAGTCTGGGAAAAGGTTTAATCACAATAGTCATCTGAAGACACACCAGAGGATTCACTCAGGTGAAAAGCCGTTCGAGTGTTCCGAGTTGGCAAAAGGTTTAGTCAAAGTGGTCTGAAGAACACAGAGGTTTCACTCAGGAGAAAAGCCGTTCAAGTGTTTCGAGTGTGGGAAAAGGTTTAATCAGTGGTCATCTGAAGGCACATCAGAGGATTCACTCAGGAGAAAAGCCGTTCGAGTGTTCTGAGTGTGGAAAAAGATTTAGTGAAAGTGGTTCTCTGAAGAAACACCAGAGATTCACTCAGGAGAAAAGCCGTTCGAGTGTTCCGAGTGTGGCAAAAGGTTTTCAAAGTGGTCATCTGAAGAAACACCAGAAGATTCACTCAGGAGAAAAGCCGTTCGAGTGTTCTGAGTGTGGAAAAAGGTTTAATCAAAGTGGTCATCTGAAGACACACCAGAGGATTCACTCAGGAGAAAAGTCGTTCGAGTGTTCTGTGTGGAAAAAGGTTTAATCAAAGTGGTCATCTGAAGAAACACCAGAGAATTCACTCAGGAGAAAAGCCGTACGAGTGTTCCGAGTGTGGAAAAAAATTTAGTGAAGTGGTTCTCTGAAGAACACCAAAGATTCACTAGGAAAAAATCGTCCCACCAGAGGATTCACTCAGGAGAAAGCCGTTCGAGTGTTCCGAATGTGGAAAGGGTTTAATGCAAGTGGTAATCTAAAAACCACACCAGAAGATCCACAGAGTGCGCTGAATTATTTGTCTCACCTGTACATTTTGCTTTAGATGTGAGGCTAAGATATAAAAGGACAGGGAAACATTTTTATTTTTTTTTTTTTTTTTTTACACCAAATGAAGGCCTCAGCTGACTAGTTTACTTTACCCAGTACGACTATCTGAAAACCTTACTTATACTTTTTATTCAATCCTCAATGGTAGAGGGATTGTTATTAATGAATTTGGTGCATATCAATAAAAAACGAAAGCAATTCTTGAGCAAGTTTGTTACTTATTTCCTATTTTTTGTCTCCAAAAGGATTGATTTATATAATATATATACATATGATATATAATATTTAATCCTGCAGATTCGTTTTAACTTAAATAATACTAATACTTAAATAATAATAAGTTTTGATGTCCAGGAATTTTGGCGGGAAATCTTTGATCGTGACGTCATCGAGCACCTTGAAGCTCAGTCCTTTCAAGAACAACAAAAGATTCAACTTTTACTATGAAATTTGATAATTTCTTGAACTGTCATATCTAGAGACCATTGTGCAATATATCTCGTGGAATCGATGGGTATGGCAAATCATTACAAACCCTCCTTCCCTCTCTCACTCTATCTTTATCTCCTTCCCTCCCCTCTCTCACACACTACCCCTCCCCCTTGTTCTCCATCTCTTGGGTATCCCCCACATTTCTTACCTTTTCTCCTCCCCTCCTATCAACCTCTCAACCTCGCCTCCCCTTTCGCCACAACAAACAAGCATAAGATTGCATATTTGCTTTTCCTTACTCCCGCTCACTCACTCGAGACTCGCCTCATCAATTTGCCTTGCTTCATCCTCGTTTATCGGTTTCAACTCTTCCTCTTTCCGTCTTGTTTCAGTGATCCTGTTTTTTTTATCATTTTTATCATTTATTCATGATTTTATTTTTTTGTGGCTGACTGGGTCTATGGTATCTCTTTTTCTCATTTTCCATTAGATTTTGCTCTCCTTTCCCTCCTTGTGCCTCTTTCTCGTTTCGTTTTTTCTCTCTCTGACTGCCTGTCTGTCGTTCTATCTGTCCATGTGTGTGTGTGTGTGTGAGTATAAAAGGCTCTAAAGCCTCCTATATGGATTTATTGAATTACTGGTGGCGGTAGATACACTGATGTAGCTGTGCACTTTTATTTAAGAACACTAGTATGAAAGGAACGCGATACGGCTCTTGGTGCTGGTGTCCGGCCTACACGCCAACGAGGTGGTACGGCCGATTACGGGCAAGCTCGCCGAGGTATATGAGAATGAGAGCTTGGGTCAAGCAAGCAAAGTTAAAAGAAAAGAGGTCGGCCACCCTTATATTCTGACCAGTGGGCGCAAGCGGGCGCGAACGGACCACGTGGTCCAACCACGCGGTGCGGACCCGGTCCATGTGGCATGCTATGCAGTATGCTATATCGCTCGGCACCTACGATATAGCATACTGCATAGCATGCCACGTGGTCCGGGTCCGCGCCGCATGGCATGCTATGCAGTATGCTATAGTGAGTCTGTCCTTCATTCTCTGTATATTCTCTCTCTCTCTATCTGCCTATCTGTATATTTGTCTGTAACTAATAGCTTGCATTTTTAATTTTATATAAAACGATATATCATACCTTTCAAATCATTAAACTGCATTCTAGTGTTGCCATATTACTACTGTGCAATGATTGAAAAAAAATATAGAAGTATAGAACGACTCAACTAAGACTTTGAATGAGAACGTTTTATTACCAGGACGTTTAGAGACAATAATAGTGAAAATTTGACAGCGCCCCTTGCAGCTGCCACTGACTTGGCTGGAGTCGACAGCGACATATACTTGCAGTAGGTTTGTTAAGATTTTGCGAGGTCCAACCCTATGAATGGTCTTATATACGGATATGCATATATTTAGACGTGCATATCAACCGTTCAGATTGACACATAAATGTATATCTATCAGATAGACAAATATGCATTGATTTCTGTGTATATGCATGTCTGAATATGCCCTTTGCAGCTGCCACCAACTTGGCTGGAGTCCAGAACGGTATAGCATCTACTTGGTCGTAGTTTCACACTCCTGGCCCAAGCTGGAGCACTCCACTCCTCTGCCTCTCTTCCACCGCACACGCTTCCCTTTGCTTGCATACCTGCACTTTATCTCTCCATAATCATGAAATTCCAACCACCTCCTCCAGTACCTTCCAGTAGATAATGGTATAGTGTAACACAGAGCAGTATGTTGGCCGACAATATATCTTGTATTTATGTGATTAAATTTATGTGTGGTATTAAAGAATGCTACATTTTCCTTAATCTTGGAAATGGCATAAAAGGTGCATTGTCACGGGGACAAAACGTTTAGTTGGAAGTCTCACGGCGCAGCCTGCAACAGGGATCACCTGAAGGGAAGCACAAATATAATTGGTTGTCCGGTCGATTTAATTACATACTTTAAAGTGTTTGTTAAATTTAGAACAATGCACACACTCGAAAAAAAATATATATATATACAATAAATATAAATACAAATATATCGAAAGTTATAAAGATAGATAGAGATAGATCTAGACAAAATATATTGATAGTAATTGCCATGATTTGAAATTTTACAACACGAGGAAAACAATGAAAAACATGGATCTAAAACAGATAACTGATACAGATATTGGTTCAATATATATGCGGCAGCAAGACAAGAAATGCGTCTTCATTTATCAGCACTTTTCCGTCTCGAACATTGTAGCCCCCAGTATCTCCAACTACAGAATACGTCACACTGTGGGGCCACCAGTACAATGTGTCTGCACTGCCTGCAGCAATAAGGGCTTCAAGAATAGTCTCTTGGATTCTTGCACACGGTTTTAACCTTTCATGGAGGAGACATTCGAGCTGCAAACAAACATTGCTATGTACTGAAATGCAGCTCACCTAATATACAAATAATTTCAATGGCTAACATAAATAGCAAATTCAATACACAAACATAAAATACGTATCGTATCCCAAAGGGTAACACTGACACTTCACACCACAGGCACGTCACGGCGACAGGTACATCTCAGGACAGCCTTGCCCAGGCTCTCCCAGCCAATCATAATACAGATTATAGGAAGACCAATCAGAACTAAGCGCTGCTCGTGCGTGAACCAATCAGCTTCAAGGATGGGAAACATTTGTACAAATGGGCTATTATCAATAATTAGTCAATGCATATTTAAATCCCATTCTTACTGTCAATATATCTCTTGATATCGGTGATCGACTCAAACTCAACCTTCCGGTATAACCATATTCTTTCTTAATTAGATGCTGCAAGGGGCGGGGCTACTTGTTGCCTGGGTAAATTTGGCGGGAAAACGCGGTAACGTCTTGGCCATATCACATATTTCAACTTATTTCACTGGATAAACAGGATATCTGACTCATAATGACAAATAAATTCATTCACTTCTACATCAGCCTATACACACATACGTTTCACATAACATAGTCCACATACTAAGATATTTCAAATAAAAATGCCAGCAGCAAAAAAATGAAACAAAATTAGAACCGTTTTCTATAATAAATCATACGAATAATCGTATAATCAAAGAAAATTTAATCACTGGAAACTTACAACAAAATTCAAACTCGCAATATTCTACAAAGATAATATTACACGAATCAAACGATGCATTTAATTACTGCCTCACAAATCTATTTCTGTGACACTGCCTACTAAGACTTCCATTAAAAAGTGAGATTGCATCATTTACAACAGTAAAGAATAAATAAATGAAGAAAGAAAAAAAAAAACAAATAAAATATAAATGAAAATAGTGAGGTTAACCATTAATCTGTCTTTACTTTTACTTTTATGTGAAATATTTACACAGTAATCGCGTTTCTGATGAATAGATTTTCTTTAACATAAATCTGAAATTCAAGAATGAACAAAGAAAGTCTGGAAAATATAAATAAAAGACTAATGTGCTACGAAGTCTTCAGCTAGGCTGCCCGTGCCTCACGCCTTGATATATTTTTGATAGCATTGAGCTCTCTTTGTCCTCTTACAGATGTAATTTGTAATTTCTTATGTTTTTTTTTTCTGAGAACAGCAAATATCAATGCTAATACCAGTTGAAGTAATGACTTCCTTGAAAGCGATCCTGAACGCAATGACTTTTGGCGGGAAATCTTTAGGTGGATTCTCGCGAACGGATTGGTCGTGACGTCACGCCCATGTAGCTCAGAGGCTTAATCTTCAACAACAAAAATCAAGGCGTATCTTATGATTGAGGGGCCTTCTTTGCCTACTCGCTTAATTTACCTATATCAAAAGATGATATTCTGTAATTATCAATGCTATAATTCATGAGTATGACGAAAACAAAACGTCATGATGACGTCACGGCCCCACGCAGCACGAGGCTCCAAGTGAATCGGCTCAGTCCGAGCCTCGGCATCCGTTGATCCTTTCGACATTGGGTTCAGGGAACATTTAGACTTCTCGGCCGCATAAGTGCGATGGCTGAGGACGTAAACCAACTGTTTTCGACGGAAGAATGACTCTCCCCGGAGATCGAGAAGAATCGCTTCGAGAATATCCTGAGAAACTACAAAGCGATGAAAGACTTCGGTGAGTTGTGTCGCTTCGAATGTGCATTTCACTTCCATCGGATATTTATCGGAAACGGATTATTTTCTTAAGTGAGGCCGTAGAGATGTGCCAATTCTTAAAAGAAAATATGGGTATCCACTGAAAAGGAAATTATCCCCTAAAACTCTGTTTGAACCCCTCTAGGTCTGGCTTGCCTCCCCCCCCCCCAAGGACAAACTCACACGATATTTTTTGCCTTAATTCCCTGGCCGTAGCTTAATGCTCCCA